AAACCCCACATGCACCTTTCACCCCTCGAAAATACCCTGATAATGAAAGTCAGCGCCCTTCGAATGGACAATGGGGGAAGGTTTGTCTTCCATGGTAGCTAGGTAGCCCCGCATGAAGGTGACTCGCCCCCGATTGTAGGAAGCCCACTCTACAGTCTGACATGCTTTCCGTATCTAAGGTAAGGGGAATAATGCTAATCTATGTGCCAAGGAAGGTAGGCCTTTAAGGGAAGTAATTCATCCGGTAGGTACTACTAACTAGAAGAGATTGAGAAAAAGGGATTTTATCTCCCTAAGGTCGAGTCTCCTTCCTATCCTTTTCAGTCTGTTTTCACTTCCTCCATCTTTGGAATTGAATCAATAGTAGCAGAAGGAGGCAAGTAACTGATTAAGGAAAGGCATGAGTTTCATTTTCCAAGTAAGTTATGAAAAAAAGTTCTTATTAGCTTTCACCCTTTCTCCGCTTCAAAAGGAGCCGAATTTCAAGAACTTAAGACTTTTTAGACGGCCCTAAAGAAAGAAGTACAGGAGCTGAAGTCGATTCGCCAACAGAGAAGGGGGGTCGGACATGAATACGATTTGCGGACATGAAACATAATAAAGGCAGATGCCAAGAAGTGGGCAAGGAACTTCCATAGGGACTTGTAGTCTTTACTTCCTTTGGAGGCTGGGATAATAAGGGCTTCAGTTGTTGAAGAAAATGTCCCGATGAACCTTTATTCGCACTTTATGTCGCTAACCCGTGGCGGACAGAGCTAGCAGGTGACGGTAAAGGTACCTCCACATTTCGAACCTCGGGAGAGAAGGACGTTGATCGAGCTTTTCCATGCCTAGTCCCAGTTTCGGTTAAAGACCCAGAACGGGCTACAGATCTATACTAATGAAGTTTTTATGTGATAAAGTCAAGCCAGGAAGTCCTTCTCTCATTCTGGTGCTTGTAAGATAAGACCAGTAGATGAATTAGGAAAGAGGGCCTATGCCCGGTTAAAGTGAAAGGCTGTAGTGAGAGCGACGGGGCTTACTTTCTCTTTGGTTCAGCTACTAAATAGATAAGTCATTTCTGCTCGACTATAGCCATCGGGGTGGGGATGAGGCAGAAACACTTGCCGCACGTGATAATGCCACATTAGATAGAACAGTTCCCTATCAATGGAAGCCTTCGATGAAGAAGGTAAGTAAATGCTACTTAAGAAGCACAAGCACCCTTTTTTATTCACTAAGGATGAGATGGTGCAGGAGCGGGTCGATGATGACACTGGGGAAGCCCAGTCAACCAATAGGGGGAAAAAAATTCCATTCACTTGTTTAACTGCTAAGAATAATTTTATCTTTCGACTGGGAACTGCTTACCTTTGGTGCTTTCTATTTTTTTATATAAGGTAGTAATCCCGTAGAGGCAAGGGCGAATCGAGTTAGCATCCCGCCATTCATGCCATGCCTTGTCAGCTAGGCTAGTTAGCTAATTCCTTCCAAGAAAATAGATTATGCGATGATGCGCGTAATAGATCTCTTATTAGGTTATTAAAAAGTCATTTCTAGAGGAATGGGCCATGGAAGACTAAGAGAAGAGAACCTGAAATGAAAGGTCAGATAGTGAAAGATGAACAAGAAGCCACAACTCGAAGGCTAATTCATGCTTTGCCAATGAGTGATGTTATTTTACTTAATATCCCAAGTTAGGAATAAGATCACAGCTTATCCCGCCACAAAGCGATTAAAATCTCTTTTCCATAGGCGCTAACTCTTACTTAAACAGCTTCGCTTCCTTCCCCAGATGCATGAGATGAAGGAAAGCGAGGGCGAAAGGAAGGCTTTGACTAACTCCTTCTAGGGTGTAATTCCAAGCTCTCGTATGGCTATGAGACTCACAATCAGGCGTCGCACCTTAGTAAGCTTTCAGGAAAGTCAGGACTATTTATTGCCGCATCAAGGAAAGATGAAATATTTTCTGTTAATACTCTTTATTCCCACATTTTTTGAATCCAAGAAGGAGTTCGATATCCGTCTAAAAAAAATAGAAGAGAGAAAGTCTAATTCCACATCTATTAGGGGCACTGAGTATATGGTGTAAGTCCTTGCTGTGTTAGCTAGGCCACCTGCCTGAAGCGTTGAAGATAGAAAATTATGGTTGCTTGTTGATTGATTCGGCGTAACGAGTGATAGAGATACCTTACGAGGGTTTAAGGAAAGAAGTTCGTTCAGGATGTTAAACTTTTTTCAATCGGGCTGTGGACCCATAGACATTGAGATTGATGAGACTCGGGAACGAGGTCGTCCCCTGTTCGTTGTTTTTCCTGAGAGAAAGATGGTCTCGAAGCACACTCTGGTTCGCGCCAATCCCTTCACTCCAGTAATCCATACCCGGACGTCCGCGATGGCGTAAGCACGTCGCAAGTCTGCTCACCGGTTATTGCATTAAGCACCGGTAATTCACCAAAAGCAAGAGGCTCCTAAAAATTTTAGAGTCAGATTCACGTGCAGCCTTGATCTTATTATACGATATACCACAAAATTTTCTATTCGATGGACCAGGAGGAACAATCGAAAAAAGCTCGACCAGTACGGTATCTCTTTGAATCCTGAATATGGTGATACCCCCGATTGTACCAATCTACATATGTCTATCCCCGTTACTAGTTATTGTCATTTGGATTCCTTTACTTTATTTGTCCGATGAGAAATGCGAAACGAAAGAAGGATCCTCCTGCTGGGAAATTAGATCCTACTCTTTGTCCACAGAAAATGGAGAGAGGAATTGATGTCTTTTTTGAATCCGGCGTCGGGACTGACGGGGCTCGAACCCGCAACTTCCGCCTTGACAGGGCGGTGCTCTGACCGATTGAACTACAATCCCAGGTTGGAACCTTAACCTCTTACGGTTGTCGAGAGATCTCAATCTACTACATCTACTCTAAAGGCAATGCAAAGAGTTCACGCCGGATCGAAGGCATGCTCTTAGTTAGCTTATGAGCGAAGGGTACGAGAGTTGTTCGAAAGTATTGGAGCGAAGGTTTGAAGACGCTCGACCAACGGGAGAGGAAGGAAGAAAGGCGAGGTTCGACCGTAACGTAATAAGGGAGGGTGCCTCCTTTCAGAGTGTGATTCGTCGTTTCCAATGCGGTTAATTGCTATTAGGCTTTTTAGGAAAGTTCCCCTTTTCTTATGCAGTTAGCTCGACTCCAGGTATAGCTCTGAATGGGCATGTAGCCGTAGGCGGGAACTCTTCTTTTTATCTTATTCTTTGGTCAGGCAAGTCGGCTGGTAATCCCAACCGAATAAGCAATCGAAATCGCTACAAGCAACCTATTTCATACCCTTTTCGTCGTACTTCCTCTTCTCCTTCTCTTCTTTCTCTCCCTGCCGAGCTTGTTGGAGTGCCATTGCCAAGATCTAGTGTAATTCCTTTTCCCCGGGAGCCAGTCGCACTAATGCTAGTATCAATAGGAAGATCTTTATTGCTTAGGAGATTTCTGGTTTTCTCCCCTGTAGTGTCAAAGTATTTGGCATAAAGAGCCCTCAATAACTTGCTTGTCCTGTACGCGGATAGAGGGAGTTTCAACTCGGCCTTCTACTAAGAGTGTTGCACAAATTCCTTTTCTTATCCCTTCTAGTTTAAGCCTTTCCTTCCTATGTAACCAAGTCCTCCTATGAACCTATCCCCGCCTAAAGGATAGGATAGGATAGATTACAACTATAAAGTAAAGGCTGTCTTCGAGCAAGCTCTTAGCTTTCATCGTGAGTGAGAGAGGAATTGAGGCTGATTCAACTCAAGCAGCTTGCACATGATTGTCTTGTGTAGTGTGTGATATCTTTCCTTTGTTAAGTGGAAGTGGGAACTATCTAAGATCTATTATCCATCCCTTTCTTGGGCACAGTCAAAGACCTTGCAACTAAGGGCTTCAACCGATGCCTTCAAGCTCACCTAACTTGGTTCTAGTGTTGTGACTGGCACTCTACCAAATCCATCAATTCTTGGATTGGTTGCTTCTGAGAGAGCTGCTCTTCCGACTGCTCGTATTCATCCCTTCCCCATGAGGGCAATCAGCCCCTTGCTTTCATTTGAATATTGGCCCTCGCGCATCACGGCTAGATTTGAGTCACTCATAGCTAGGGCTTTCTATTTCATCAGGACGGCTTCTCCTCTACTGAGCTCATCGCCCCTTTCTATCAGCTTCCGCTACCTGTCTGATGAGGTTTTACGGAGGCTCCTTTGACCGGTCTGAGGCTTTACCTCACCCTATCTCGCTTACTCGTTGTGGTTTACCACGGAATAAACCTGCTTTTCATCGTAAGATGATGAGGGGTCGCTCCTGGAGTTGCTAGTGAGTCCGAGTGAAAGAGTCAACTGCTTGCCCCTTGCGCTTTACCGGTTTGGAATGAGAGCCTTCATGTCAGCCTTCTCACCCATGGAATCCCTCTTATCTTATAGTTCTCTATCTAGCTGCATTCTAACACCCTCTTTAGGCTCTTCGGTATTCCTTCGTGACTGAGGCGGCAAGTCGCTTTCTTGCCCTATTCTGAATAGAACTGGAGCCGGCTTTGTTTAAGAAGTTAAGCTACAATACAATCTCTCTTTCTGGCGCAAAGAATGCCTACTGACAGCAGCTTCCAATGGCAAAAGAAGTACTCTCCTTTGGTCCTCGGGCTAGTTCATCTATCTATCTATCAACTCAGCAAAGTGGCTGCGGGGATTCGATGTGCCATCTGCGGTTCTTAACCGATTCACTCCAAAGCGGTTCACATGCCACCCGTCTTGGTAGATCCTACCCTTTTCCTTGCTAGTAAATACCGAACTTGACTGTGGTAGGCACAATCGCTTTCAATGAAAATTTTGCTTTCTAAATCCGCCCTCTTCAAGCTGTCGAATATAGATAGGAGATCCACTTCAATTTCTCTCCTCTCCCACCTCTCCAGCTTGGGAATAGTTCTTTCTACTGGCTATCTATCTGTACAATGCCAGTTCAAGCTACCTTCTGGATGGAGCAAGAAAAGGTATGCGCAGGCGCAGTAGTTCAAGGCGGACAGGTAAGGGTAGGTAGTAAAGGCTTAGCATAGGCAGGGGATAGGCATTCAAATCACTATCTTAAAATACCGTATATAAGAGAAAGAGTGGCTCGTGCATCTTTTCTTAGACAAGTCTAGTAGGCAAGGGAATTGTTATAGCAAGCATGAGCGGGAATGAGCAATGACTTGAGTTTCGTTCTGGAGTTCGAGCGTTGAAAGTTAGTTCGAGCGGGGGTCTTTTCTTTTTTTTTTAATAGGAAAAATGAATGAAAATAAAAGCGGTGGCCGACAAGGCCCTTTTACCTAAATCCAATCTCTTGGGAAGCGAAGAGGACAGGTTTTAAAGTCGTTCGGTAAGATTCTCCCGAAGGTAGACATTTACCCAAGGCACTGATATTCTGACTCTCTCAATTACACGTGTTTGAGGGAGTTGAACGTCTTATTCTTATGAGTGGCCTATGTGAATATGAGCCAGGAGCAAGGATTCCTGAAAGTGAATTCCAGTGCAAGCCTGATATGAAAGTGGAGTTCAATCGTCGAAAGTGAGATCTCTTTTAGTCCGGTCTTCTTTTCTCTTTTGAGTCAGGTTCTTAAGACAGGACAGGAAATCGGCTTTTCTGAATATCTCTTTTCCCGCCTATGTTGTAGTTCGAGATCGAAACTGGACCTGAGAGAGACTAGACTTCTAGTAACAGTAGGTGCGCCTTCAGTTGAGGAGAGCTGTTCACAAGTAGTGGTTATGAGCTCTTTCTTATTCCGGTTCAGAAGAGGTAATTCCTTCAGTTGCACTAGTGGATTGAATAACCTTTTTTTTAGTGCCAACAAAGTGCATGTGTTGTTGGTTAATGTTAATAAAAAGATGACTTTCGATAGGCTGGAGGACTGAGACTAGAAGTAGGACAAAGGTCTTAAAAGAGAAATGAAAGGCATTTTTATTTGAGAGAGCTATGCTTAGGTCAGTTCCTTCAGTCCACTTTTTAGGTAAGCCAAAAGTTCACTTTAGGTAAGTAAGTAGTCCCGTATGAAATTAATAAAACATTCATATCTGGCACTTGAGGAGGTCAATCTTAAGTTGTTGGAAGCTACTGCTAAGGTACTCCCCCTCATCTATAAAGGATAGGCAATTGAGAGAAAATAGGACGATAGCGATAGACACAGGAACTTAAATAGATTAAAAGATGACTTCCGTAGAGGAGAGGGGAAACCTGCTTAGATAGGGTGATAGCCCGGTTTTGATTGAATATCCTTTCCTGTGCTTGTCTTGTATTGAGGTATACCGCGAAGATATGAGTAAAAGTAGGTAACAGAAGGGGAGGGATTGCTGTTTTTTATTACTGAGGGCAAGCAGCTTTCATTTTATTCAATCTAATGGTAGGGCTTGAAAGAGTAGGCGGTTCGTATCTTTCTATGACCCCCAGAATAAGAAGTAGGAGGATACGCAGAGAAAGAGCTCTTGAAGTCTACCCGGGCGCGCTTCTTCATTCATCCATTTAGGCCCGACTAGGAACACGTGGATCCAGGGAACGAACAGCTTCTTACTAGTAGGGGCGAATCACAGTAAAAGAGTCCAATCTATGAAATAGAGCTTAGTCTGTCCAAACTAGTAGAAGGCTTAGGTTCTTATTTGATCCAATAAAGTCAGAATACCTTTCTATCTAAAAGAAATGGTGCTCGATGAAACGACCCAGATTCCACACTATGCTCTGGTCTGGGGAGAGAGCTGCTCTGCGAAGCTGGGCGTTCCGTGTTCTTATGAAGGAACCATACTAGAAAGAGAATAGAAAGGGCCTTAGCGAGGGAGTGATGGGCAACCTTAGTCTATATATTGCTCGTGAGCCGCCAAGTACCAGTCTCGCAACAGTATTGGTGGCGCAAAACAAAAGGATCGGTCCTTCACTTGCTGATCGTTCGCGAGTAGAACTCGCTCTCTTGCCACGCCTTTCACTCACTCGCTTGAGTCGGACTCAATCACTCGGAGGATCATTCCTTCTTCACTCTCTTGCTATTACCCGCAGGGAGCGCAGCAACCAAGGTGCATATTATCATATAGAAAGAAGCGAAGCGTAGCGATTCGTACTACCGGAAAAGTTTCGCTAACCGGCAGGCAATAGAATCCGCCGATAGGCGCAAGCAAGCGTAGCGAATCACATAGATAAGGCCCTACCTGCCAGCGCGCGGATAGATAGGGCGGGCGAAGCGCGAAGGGGATGGATGTCTGAGCGGTTGAAAGAGTCGGTCTTGAAAACCGAAGTATTGATAGGAATACCGGGGGTTCGAATCCCTCTCCATCCGCGAGGTCATAAGTTCTCTCTTGCGTTATCTATAGATAAGAACGAATCGGATCGACTCGACTGATATGATAGATGGAATGGTAGCTTGTTTTATGATTTAGTTAGGACTCTGTCTCCCTTTCGTGATCTTCCGCCCTCCGGTTGGGGAAGGTCCGGAAAGCCCTCACTCCCCCTTTTTCAAAAAGAAGCCCCGCTCAACAAGGGGCCCTCTCTGATAAGGAAGAAAACGAAAGAATCTCAATTTTACGACAAATCCGGTCCGATGGCTGTTCTCCACTAACCACAAGGATATAGGGACTCTATATTTCATCTTTGGTGCCATTGCTGGAGTGATGGGCACATGCTTCTCAGTACTGATTCGTATGGAATTAGCACGACCCGGCGATCAAATTCTTGGTGGGAATCATCAACTTTATAATGTTTTAATAACGGCTCACGCTTTTTTAATGATATTTTTTATGGTTATGCCGGCGATGATAGGTGGATCTGGTAATTGGTCTGTTCCGATTCTGATAGGTGCGCCTGACATGGCATTTCCACGATTAAATAATATTTCATTCTGGTTGTTGCCACCAAGTCTCTTGCTCCTATTAAGCCCAGCCTTAGTAGAAGTGGGTAGTGGCACCGGGTGGACGGTCTATCCGCCCTTAAGTGGTATTACCAGCCATTCTGGAGGAGCAGTTGATTCAGCAATTTCTAGTCCTCATCTATCTGGTATTTCATCCATTTTAGGTTCTATCAATTTTATAACAACTATCTCCAACATGCGTGGACCTGGAATGACTATGCATAGATCACCCCTATTTGTGTGGTCCGTTCTAGTGACAGCATTCCCACTTTTATTATCACTTCCGGTACTGGCAGGGGCAATTACCATGTTATTAACCGATCGAAACTTTAATACAACCTTTTCTGATCCCGCTGGAGGGGGAGACCCCATATTATACCAGCATCTCTTTCGGTTCTTCGGTCATCCAGAGGTGTATATTCCCATTCTGCCTGGATCCGGTATCATAAGTCATATCGTTTCTACTTTTTCGGGAAAACCGGTCTTCGGGTATCTAGGCATGGTTTATGCCATGATCAGTATAGGTGTTCCTGGATCTCTTGTTTGGGCTCATCATATGTTTACTGTGGGCTTAGACGTTGATACCCGTGCCTACTTCACCGCAGCTACCATGATCATAGCTGTCCCCACTGGAATCAAAATCTTTAGTTGGATCGCTACCATGTGGGGGGGTTCGATACAATACAAAACACCCATGTTATTTGCTGTAGGGTCCATATTTTTGTTCACCATAGGGGGACTCACTGGAATCGTTCCGGCAAATTCTGGGCTAGACATTGCTCTACATGATACTTATTATGTGGTTGCACATTTCCATTATGTACTTTCTATGGGAGCCGTTTTTGCTTTATTTGCAGGATTTCACTATTGGGTAGGTAAAATCTTTGGTCGAACATATCCTGAAACTTTAGGTCAAATCCATTTTTGGATCACTTTTTTCGGGGTTAATCCGACCTTCTTTCCCATGCATTTCTTAGGGCTTTCGGGTATGCCACGTCGCATTCCAGATTATCCAGATGCTTACGCTGGATGGAATGCCCTTAGCAGTTCTGGCTCTTATATATCTGTAGTTGGGATTTGTCGTTTCTTCGTGGTCGTAACAATCACTTCAAGCAGTGGAAACAACAAAAGATGCGCTCCAAGTCCTTGGGCTGTTGAACAGAATCCAACCACACCGGAATGGATGGTACAAAGTCCTCCAGCTTTTCATACTTTTGGAGAACTTCCAGCTATCAAGGAGACGAAAAGCTCTGTGAAGTAAAAGAAAAAAAGGTCGCCGATTGCTACTAAGAACCTAACAGAACTTTTCAAAATTGAAAACGGATCAGTCGACCTGGTCTACGAATCTATTCTAACTATCAACGAATTCTTCAAATTTTAGGCGGGATGGGGATTGTAATTATTTAGACTTCTCGAGGTATAATGACAGACCGGGAGGCTAGATTCGAAGGAATCGGCGGATCAATTTTGTGTTATATATGGTAATCCTTCTGCGAATTAGATCCTAAATTGACTATTTGTGAAAAAAAGAGAAAGGGCGGGTTGTATAATCTCACTCCTCCCCCATTAGTTGAGACTTCAAGGAGGTTTTCCCCGGAATGAAAGAAAAAAAAGAAACTGGTTCACGTAAGAATGGACGTCTTGGTTCACGCAAGAGTGCACGTAGAATACCAAAAGGACTTATTCATGTTCAAGCAAGCTTCAACAATACCATTGTGACTGTTACAGATGTAAGGGGTCGGGTGGTTTATTGGGCCTCCGCCGGTACTTGTGGAAGAGGGGGTACAAGAAGAGGGACACCATTTGCTGCTCAAACTGCAGCGGGAAATGCTGTACAGTAGTGGAGCAAGGTATGCAACGAGCGGAAGTTATGAAAAAGGGTCCAGGTCTCGGAATCCCATCTTCCAAGGTCAGGAGCCACGGAGCCAGAAGACCGTTCGACGATCCTACTTCTGATGTCATCCCCTTCTGTTCCCTCCCTGTTGAATATCCCAACTATTCTATATCCAATTCCGGGATGGATCATGAAAGATTTTGTCTTGAAATGCCGATAAGGAATAGCCAGTTATAGAAGCGGGTGGCAGGGAATGAAAGCACTCCTGTGCTATCAAAGTAGAGATATTAGTTAGAGCTAGGGGCAGGCCATCTATTCCTGCTTGACTTTCTTCAAGATACGAAATGAGCAGCCGTTTTTCGTGACATCATATCACTATTCGGCAAGTCAATCCCGCTTACCGGCTCAATATATCTCTCAATAGATTCGCTTGCCACAACGACCGGACAGGATAGGAGATCGCCCAACCTTCCAATTTATCTTTCTGAAGCAACTATAACGGATGGGCAGCTTCCCTACCCACTGGGGATTTTTTTTCCCCGTTCCAACTTCGGATTCTTGGAAATCATCCCCGGTTCTATGATTTAAGGTTAGGAGTTTCATTCTTAGCAAGATCCCCAGCTATTGAATCTGTTGTCGTCGGCGGGGCTACTTCTTCTTCTTTCGAAATGAGAAGAATAGCGTAGTCAAAGTAGGCCAAGTCGGTAGCCTTTTCTGAAACTCTTGGGAGAAGGGCTGTAGGATTAGAAAAAGGCCTAACTGCTGTTGAAGGAATAGAGGCTGTTTCGGCTCTTGGAGTAAGGGGGGAAGGGCTGAGTGCCGGTGAAATGCTTTTTTAGACTTACCCCGCTCAATGGAAATTTATTTAGGCAAGATCCCACGTCCAAGAGTCTGATTCTGATTCTGCTTTCACTCTTATCAAGGAAGGAGGCCACCAAACCAAAGGGGAGGTCTTTGCTTGCTTTTCCTGTTAGAGATGCTAGTCTTTTTGTAATAACTGCTCTGAAGATGTTTTCAGGAATAAGAGAAGACGGTGCTCTTTCATCAGCTCTTTGGCTATTTGCTTGCGATAAAGAAAGAGTGAATTGATCCGAGCCAAGTAGTTCGGCTAAGCCGGAAAGAAAGAGTTAGATCCTCTTTGAGATGAAATGCGGCAATGTCCTAATCAAACCAGGCGCAAGGTCAATGATTTCGCTCAAGGCTCAAGGCATAAAGGCTCTTATTCCTTCTGCATTGGTCTCGGAGGGCCCTCGCTCTAAAGGGTTGATGGCAGCTATCCTGCTCTGTCAGAGATAATTGGAATGGAATTGGTGTGGTTCGCTAGCTCTTTCTTTTGAGACGAATGAATTCCGAATAAAGGAAGGCGGTCGTGATAGGGAAAGGCCTTTCCTTATTACCAGGAAAGATAAAATGGGCCAAATCGCCTGCTAGAGAAGAAGCTCTTAGGGAATCGATCTAGACTAGATGAGATGCCGGTGCCATTAAACTAGCTGCCAGAACGAGTTCAAGAGATGAGGATCCAGGTAGTGAAGTCACCCTCGGGGGAAGAATCATTCCATTCACTTGTGAAACTGCTAAGAAGAATAGCTTTTCTCTGAATCCACCACTCACTCTCTTTCGGGTAGGTTTAACAAGAAAGTAAAAGCAATCTCCTCAACCTAGAAAGAGAACTCCGGGATCTTCTTTTTCTTCTTAAGAACCCGAAGGCGAACTAATCCGTCTTGGTGCAGCTCCTAGTCCTGATCGATTGGCTACCGGGTGTTCACTCAAACTAAAAAGAAAAAAATGGAATATAGAATCCGGATCCTCATCTCCTTCCCGCTTTAGTTTCACTCTTATCTCGGTTGCTAACCGGTGTGGGAGATGAAGCCAAGTCCTTTCCCTTCAAGGATCTAACTGCCACTCTTTCTAGTTTCATTCAACTGCCACTAACCCATATGCTTAAAACATCTCATTGGAGGTGGGATAGAGCTAATTCTGGGATCGAATGTCTCTCATTGTGGTCTTGATTTTAAGCTAGTACAATCAAGGATTCTGGTATGAATTTGGTAGTCATCTTGATCTCTTCTCTTGTCTTTTTTTTTTGAATAGGTCTTCTCCCTTCGATCCGCGAAGTAGGCAAGCAGGAATCTCTCCCCCTTTCTGTTTATGGATAGAAAGAATATCTCCTTAGGAGAGTATTTTATGAGTTGACTGTAACCCGAAGGCTTCTTTCAATCGATCTAGTAGGTAAGAAATAAGATCTTCGTATAGTTAATGAATTAAAGCGAAACCACTAGGTTAGATCTCGTCTGTGATCCCTGGGCTTGTTAATTGAGAGAGAAACCCCTACTATCGATCGTGGCCTTCATTGAGTGCATTTTTTGCTCTTTGACATAGTAAGGCGGGAAGGCATGAGCAAGGCACTTACAAGGCCTTTCACAGCTCAAATCCATGCATTAAGCCGCTAATCCCTTTTATAGCAAAGTCCCAGCAGGCTACCTCATCGGGAAATCTAAATTCTTTCACCGAACCAGGGGGGGCACGATGAATACATTGATTATCTGGGTCCGATCGTCGCTAGAGGCCCGTCGACTATAATACACTGTTCGAAATTTCTTCGTTTCTGCCGAAACAAAACGGGATTGGCTATCTTAACCTTAGCAGTTTTGCGAGCAAACGTAGACGAATGCTTGCAAGACCAGCAAAGCCCTACTTATTAGGAGGGGACTCTTTGGCACCTTAGAGAAATTCCTTTACCTAGGGGATCAAGTGGTAGTTGATCAATGAACTAATATCTTTCGGTATAGGGCGAAGGTAAGGGCTTGGGCATGGCACGAGGGTTGTTAAGCTCACATCCGTTGTAAGACTTTGTAAGAAATGCTGGATTGTGCCCTCCGAGCAGAAGGTGTCCTCAGGGCTTAGTTGGGTTTGTTTGAGTCTAAATCCTGATTACGTCGAGTGGAGAGGCCTTAGTGTTCAACGCACCACGTCCATCCTTATGGAATCCATCTGGACAGCTTACCCTTAAACTTTTGCCAACCCCAGAGAAGAGAACTTCGAGGATACGCGGTAGACATGCTTTTCCCAAGAATCTTCAAACTTTTTGCTTATGTAATGGGGGAGGTACCAGCTGATGTCTTTGAAGACATTCAGAAGGACGTTCGAGATATGGAGGGGTGCTTTGGGTTTGATCTGAGATGGGTTCATGCCAGGCTGGGTGCAGTGGCCAAGGCAAGATTTGATACCCATCATCTCGAGGAGTACGCCCAGACTTCAGCAGCGCTCGAGAAAGCTACAAGTGCATTGGCTCAACTTGAAGGAGAGTTGTCTCGGCGTAGTGAAACTGCTTCTGCCCATTTGGTGAACAACTCTGTTGCTACTAAAATGAAACATTTTCCCCTCGAGGGAGTGGTTATTTTCCCGATGAAATCGAGGGCACAAGTTTTAAATGGGTAGGGAGTTCCACGGCTGGAGCATGTATGAGGTTGCCATGTAGTTGACAAACCTTGCACCTCTTAACAAATGTTGCTGAATCTATCTCCATAGTTGGCCAATAGTACCCCAGGGTCATCAGGTGATCATATATCTTTGCGCCGCCAATATGTCCTGGGGCGTGGGCTTCCTCGAGAACCTGCTGCACATCCGGATGGAGAGGATGGCCATTATAGCCCTTCCTGTAAAGTTCTCCTTGCTTAGCAAAGAAGCGAAATGCCCTTTTCTTTATTCCAACTACATCTTTTGTTTCAGAGGGGAGGATTTTTTGATCCAGAAAAGAAATACAATCAATATAGGGCTTTCTCCAGTCTTCATAATATAATGCTCTAAGGCACATTCTGCTGGACATGGGTAGAATTGACATTGGAGGCAAGTTTTCTTCAATTTGTTGGCTTCCTCCAATACTGCAGCTGAGAGTTCTGCTCTGATGGAGGTGCATATTCATATTCTCCACTCGGGAAACGGGCAAGCAAATCAACTAAGGCTTTACTTTTCATTGCGTTGGGAGTTACACATTTCATGTCATAGCCTGCTAGAGTGAGGAACCGCCGAGCAGCTCTCCCTATGAGTATAGTATAGCTCGAGACATTAAGTGTTTGATTGGGTCACATCTTGTCACAATATGAACTGTGAAGGACATGAAGTAGTGACGCAACTTC